CTTGCAAATCCCTTATGAAGAGATTTGTAGAGACAGCAGCTTTTTAGCATCAAATATATTAATCAGGGTTTGCATTGATGGTAAAGTGTTAGCTGGTGAGAAGCTCTTTTTAAAAGCCATTGCACAGAAATGATCCAGTGAAAATGTTATGACACTGAAGATAGATGGTGTTGCACAGACATAGTCCAGTGCAGGATTTACCCAAAGAAAATCAATCCACATTTGGCTCGCATTAACCCTGTGGGAAAACATTTGCAGGTGATTTTCTCAGCCTTCTCCTTCACAGTCGATGGAGGCACTTCAAATTCAGGTCAAAATGGAAAAAGCTGTCAGTGCCTGGCGGTGTGCTGTGCTGCTGCACTCCTCCCCTCAGTGCAGATCAAGCACATCCACAGCGAGAATGTGCGATAGAGTGTTCCATAATGCTTGACTAGCACGAGACTTTGTCTGTGTTTTCAGAGTCAACTTTCAGCATAACAAATCCAGCTAATCAGATGTGCTTCCACTCTGTTTTGAGTCCTGAATGAGTCAGGGAGAAGCATAACCCAGAGATGTCTGCGTCTTCCACCAATGAACGCCTATCGCATGCTTTGGTAGATGGCATTACTGGAAGTACTATCACTGGTGCTACTTCAAAACCCTCTGTGTGCTGTGATCACAGCCTGGCTGCTGTCAGGAGTGAAACCATCCTGCACAAAGCAGGTGTGGAACAGACCGTGTGATGTGCTTGGCTGAGCCCTCAGGAACAATCTAACTCCCTTCCTCTCCTTCACCTCTCTGCACAGAGGCTTTTAAATTACAACTCCATGGAAACATTTTCTGTGCACCATCTGGCTTCATGTATTTTTCAACGAGTTGATAAGTATTTACACACCCTAGAGAGAACAGATAGTTACTGATTTGTTACATGGGAAGGGAAACAAAGCTTTTTCAAAACTGATTTTATATACAAGCCATTGGATTAAGTGCTTTAAATTTTGCCAGGATCCCAATGACCATTGTGGTGTTGGTTTCACAAAATTTCCACCCCATTTTTCACACTGAACTTGCTAAGATAGCTACATATTTTTCCTAGTGATAACGGTTGGATTGAATCACTGTGTAGAAATGAAAACGCATATTCCTTACAAACTGCACTTTAACTGATGCTTTGTCCTCCTTATTTCAGTACTATAATTGCAGTATTAAAATAATGAGTACAGATTCTTGCTACTGAGCAGCACTGCTCACACACAGGGAGAAGATGCCATTAAAATGCAAAGATTTCAGGAACTAGCAATCGTCTGAACTCCACAGGTGAGGAGAAAATGAGAGGACCTAGAAATACATGAAACGAAGATCTTTTGGGAAAGTTAACACCTTTCTGTGCCTGCATTTGGTCTCCCAAAAACGTCTGTCAGTCGGCCTGCAAGAAAAAAGACTATTGGTTTTGTTTTTAAAAATATTAAAGGCATTACTAAATTTTTAATTCAAAGCACTGTGAATCTAAGATGAATCATTTTACTGACTTAGTGGCTACACCAGATTTCATATGAGCTAGGTATTAATGCCTGGCACTATGCCACTGGATGTAATTTGTGAGTTCATCATAACCCGATCCAGTCTATGTCAAATACGGAGTAATTCTTCATATTTTTGAGACAATATCATTCCTAAATCTGCCAAGGAAGAGAATTAAAGAGAAGCTTATTTGAAAAGATATACTGCCAAATTTCAGCTTTGTGAAGTGGTAGTTTAAATGATATCTGACTACTGAGTGCCAATTGCTGTCAGAGCATGGGTTTGTTGTATGGACAAAAAGAAATGTAACACTTGGAGCTTCTTACTTAGCAAAATTTGCTGCTATGCTACTAGTGTTGGGAAGTTCATTGATAAAACCAAGAAGAAAATGCCAGTTGGTCTGCAATGGCTAGTGAAGGTTTTATTTGGTACCAGGACAACAGTACAAGTGAAACAGGTACAGCTGAAACTGCAAGAGAGAAAACACTACAGAGCAGTGTGCAGCCACTGCATTCTAAACATGTTTTTTACAGACTTTTGGCCATAGACTCCAGTTTCTTCCCACCTCAAATGCCACATGTTGGTCTGCTCACTTCTCTTGCAAGTCAAGTCAAAATCGCTGGCTCCCTCTCCTGTTGTCCTTCTATGCCTTTGTTCCTACTGCAGGTCAAAATCTTGCTGTCGGAGATCAGCAATAATACTGGATAGAACAAACCTCAAGATATTTTGTTCCTTCAAACTGCTTTTGATTATTAATGCTCACTGCAGAATTTACTTAAACACATATCTGTAATCAGTACAGTTTTAAGGATGGTTTGGCCTTAGGATATGCCTGTGTTCCTTTGTTCCTGGCCACTGGTTTCCATGTTGTAAGAGAGTGTAGAGCTCCTTCAGTCATGATATGATGCCAATTTGCGCAGCTTCCTAATCACCAGATTCCAGAAATGATTAATGGTTAATACCATTCATGTGTGTCACAGCAGATCCTTTCAGTGATTCCAGCAGCATCTCCACATGACACCAGTTACAATGGGTGGCAGACCTTCATTGTAAGGGAATGGAAGACATGGATAGGAATGTGAACGAGCTCAACTGGCAAAACACTGATGGGGAAGCAATACTAGGGTGAGCAGCCTTCTAGATGCTGCTTCTGTTAGAAAATAACTTCTGTATTCTTGACATTAACCTCAAAACGTGCACAAGTTATTAACCTGATTGTCCTTCAAAAGAAAAATCAGCCCAGCAGTATCTTGCTATTATAACAGTGGAACCTACATTTACCTACAAAGCCCAAAGTTTTGGAGCATATCATGGTTTAGAACTTCCAGTACTGACTAACTACATGCCAAGCTCGGGACATTTAAGCTAGAACACATTTGTCAAGAATGAATAGCAGTTGACCTCCTGCTTGTTAAATATTGTTACTCTTTGTCTTACCTGCTATCCCAAGACATTTGCACTTGGTTTGTTAATTGTCTTTTCTGCTGATATCAGAATAAGCCCTACTCCCACTGCAAAGCGAATCATGGGAACTGCAATCAGTGCAACACAAAGCGAGTCTAAGATTCACGCTTTGCTATTTTCCCTTTTATTTCTGCTACCCAAAGGGCTGGCAGCAGTTCAGAAAATCCAAGTGCTTTTGAAGTCTCCTACACCTGGCTAGGATAACTTCAGCTTGTCAGCAGCTGTTAAGAGAAATTCTGCCAGATATTGGCTTAGGAACAAACAGGGATGTGCTATGAGTTTACTGCAAGCCAAACAGAAACTATTTATAGATGACAGCCCCTGCATTTGCATTATTTCTTCTTAACAGAACAATTAAAAAATGTAGCCCTTCAGCTCTGCAGCCAGGTGCCTCTGGAGTTGGGACGTGCCAGGTGACAGCCCATACGATGGGATGCACATATTACACAAGGGCTAGGGATACAGCCTCCTGGGCTCCTGACACAACCACATTGGACTCATCAGTATTTTTGGAATATGTTCTGGTACAGATTGCAGAGAAGGTTGTTATGTGGCACACTGGGATCTGCCAGGTGAAGAAGATCCAACAAGCTGCGTGGTCCCCCTCTGAAACAGCAGTTCTTGGTACTATTCAGGGCTTTAACACTAGTGAAATCGGATGCTGAAATGTGTCTTGTTTGCCCTCCTTTGGTTTTGTCTATTGGCAGTGATCTGGTATAGAAAAACCAAAGATACAATAATAAAAGACCAGATCAAAATTCGATTATAAATATTGATTCATACTGTGCTTATTAGTTCAGTTCGATGATAAGGAATTGGAATTGAAATTAATAACAAAAACATATTTCTTTGAAGTTACACCATTAAATTCATGCAAACATCTGAGCATGTAAAGGCAGAAAAGTGACTCTGTCAAATATGATTTCATAGTATGTCTCACTCTAACAGACATGAAACTGACCAACAAACTTTAACACCCTTATTGACCTACAAGTTATACTCATTTGGTCACTTTTGTAATACGAAACGGAAAAGCTGGCAATTAGCAACATGGTCAGCAACTGCTTTTAAAATCAATTTTCACAAAACTGAAAAACAAAACAAAGACCAACGACGAGTCCTTTGTGGCTGCCCAGAACAGGACTCAAAAAATAATGAAAAAGAAATGACGTGAATAACCAGGAGCTGTTAGCGAGCCTTCCATCGGTTAACGTCTAAAATGGAATTAGGGGGAAAAAAGAACGTAGTTAAACAGCGGTAGCAAAATGGAAATGATCTTAACAGCCCCAACAGCGCACTGCGTCCACGCGGGAGGAGAGGACGGCGCTGCTTTGTTGCAACGACTGCAAGCCCATCACCCTGATCGCAGCGCTGAGCAAACTGCCGCAGCTTATGGAGGACCGAATTAACAGAGATTGCACTATTCAGCGAAGGCATTTCCGCAGAACAGGTCTTGTGGCGATACTGAGGCACCTTTTATTTACGCAAACGCCTGCTGGACGCAACTTGCTATAGCCCAAAGCCGGAAAGGCCGCCAAAGCCGCGACGCGGGCTCCAGCTGCGCTCAGCTCCGCCGCCGGCCGGCCGCTCCCCGCCCCGCTGATGGCGGCGCTCCTCGGGGCGGATCGCAGCGCAGCACAGCGCCCCTCCCGCCACCGCCGTCGTCTCCTCCCGTCCCCCCGGGGCTCCTCCCGCCCGCGGCCTTTTCCGGCGCCCCCCCCCTCCCGCCGCTGCCACATCCTCCGCTGACATCAGCCCGCGCCGCCATATTGCACGCGAAGCCGCCTCCGCCAGCTCGGCCCCCGCTGCCTCCGCCTCCGCGGCCCGGCCCCACTCCCCATGACCGCCCCCGGCCGGCCGCAGCCGCGGTGCGGGTAGGGCCGAGTGGGAGCGGCTCCCGCTACTCCGGCTCCGCGCTCCCGAGTTGTCGCCGAGCCCCCCGCCGCCTCCTCCTCCTCCTTCTTCTTCTCCTTCTCCTCTTCCTCCTCCTCCCCACCCCCCAAACCTCCTAAACCCCCGGCCCGGCCTCTGCCCTCCCGCCGCCCGCAGCCATGACGTCCCTCACGCAGCGCAGCTCCGGCCTGGTGCAGCGCCGCACCGAGGCGTCCCGCAGCGCCGCCGCCGACAAGGAGAGGGGGGCCGGGGGCGGCCCGGAGGACGAAGACCGTCGGGAAGAGCCGGGAGACGACGAGAAGGGAGACTCCAAGGAAACGCGGCTGACCCTGATGGAGGAGGTGCTGCTCCTGGGCCTCAAGGACCGCGAGGTGCGGACCGTGCGGGGGGGGGTCCGGGGAGAGGGGACGCCGGTGACGGGGAGCGTGTGTGGAGGAGGGGGGATCTGCCGTGTGTTGGCTGGGCCGGGGCGCGGGTGGGTCGGGGGTGGCTCTGGAGGCCAGGGTTAGGGTGCCTGCAGGTGGGACGCGCAGCCGTGAGGCCCGGGCAGCCTTGCGGTGGCTGTGCTACTGCTGCTCGCCCGCCGCTGGGACGTGGGAGTCTGGGCTGCGTAACGCCTTGTGCCCGCAGGGCTTCGGGACGCTCGGCAGCCCTTTCTGAAAACGCTTCTGAGGCTAATGCGTGCGAAAAAGGCCGGAAAGTTGATGGAGACAGACATAATAAAAACGGGCCTCGAATCCTAAGCGGGTCAAAATGAGGAAATAGGTTTTTATGTAACTCCGTGTTTCAGTGAGTTTATGATATCCTTGTTTGTCGTGGTTGTGTGAACAGCAAAGCGTATTTCTATGGATGTGGTGGTCAGCTTCGTACTGACTTATCATTACGAAGTGATAATCAATACAAAGGACGTGCACACTGTGCAAAGCCTTATCAGGGAAAACAATTTGATATGCTGTGTGGTGAAGCACACCTTTGTTGTGATGCCTTTATTTTAGTTACTAGCTGTCACGTGTGCTTAATTAAGTGACCTGCTTAATTCTCTGTTGGTGTTGCAAGTAAACTAAAGAAGACTGATTTGGGTGGAAGTATCATAAACCCATTCACAAGCAGAAAATAACAAGAGGAAACTGCCAAGCAGTGTGTTCCTTGGCAGTGGGTTGCATCTAGAATAACTTGACTGGTTGATGTTGTGTAGATTAGGAAGTAGTTTTTCTAAATAATGGTAATTTTGTTGTTGGGGTTCTGTCTGTGTATATATCTGGTGCAATAACATGCTTTATTTCTCTCTCAGTCCACGTACTTCAGTTCACGTTTTTCTAATCCCATTTTTCCCAGACGGACCTTGCCATGGCATCACAGTAAAGTCAGCAGATACTCACAGAGATGTGTGCTTCTTCCTACTGATCCTGAAGATGTGCCTATGTGTGTTGCTCTTCTAACTCACCTGAATAGTTGCAGGGAAGAGTTGGGCTTGCTGAGTCAAGTCAGGATAGGAGGACTTGCTCTGAGAAAGATGGATTAGACTAGGTGAATTTCCAGCCCTTTTTTTGCTCACGTGTGGTAAATCTGCTGAATCCGTGGGTTCTGGGCTGTAAAGATTTCAAACTAGGGAGCATTCTGTCTGCTTAGAAAGAATGTACAGCACGAGTGTTTCCTTGTATATCAGAAGTTAGTAATTCATACTGGGCCTAAAAAATGCAGCTTTGCACTGCTAAATCATCTGACTTTTAGTATAAGTGGTGATGGTACATGCTACAGGTAATGCAGTGTTTCTGTGTACAAAAAAGGGAATTGATTGCAGTGGCATGGGTATTCGTGACTCCCTTGAGATTTTGCAGTTGAAACATCAGACAAGAAGAATGATGAGAATGATAATGTCATCTGTAGGGTGGGGGGCTTATGTGCACCAACTAGCACGCAGTTTCTGAGGCTGGTTAGGCACGAATCACTAGAGCCTGTGTTTTACTTCTGTGTCTGTACCTCTGTCTTTTATAGAAGTAAAGCTCTTTATCTTCAGGGTTTTTTAAATTTAAAACTAGATAAATTTTTGAAGATTTGGGGTTTTCTGTTGTTCTAGTGAGCAAAACAAATTTATTTTATGCAGTTGGGAATGCTTTTTATGAAGTTTTTACTTCCAGTAGAATTGATCCCCATTGACATTTGTTTGAGGCTTTCTCATGACAGCAAGTGGAGAAAAGTAATAAAAGGTCTATAAAGAACAACTGTGAAACTGCACAAAGGGTAAGAGACAGGCAAAAGCAGGTATGTGAGCTTTAATCTCAACTAAAAGCCAGTGAATCTGCAGTTGTCAATGTTCTTGTTTGACTGTATGCTGAATTACTTCATTGTGTTGGAATAGAATAAAAGTTACAAGACTGTACTTTGGTAAGAATGCATTTCCCTAAAAACAGTTACTTCACAAAAGTCACCGCTAACTGCATTGATAACTTAGCTTTGACAGTTTTGGAGTTAATTTTTTTAAACATTAAACAGTAGTGAATTATGGCATAACATGTAAATTTTATCAGGAATGCCTCGCGTGCCAGTGGACACTGTTTATAATTTCTTTGTATAGGTGGAAGAGCCTTTGCTCTTCGGAGAGCTTTACAGGAAGATTCAGACAGTGATGGAGAGGTGCGCTCAGTGTTTCTAGGAGATGGCAAGGTATTTGTGAGAATCCTGCTTTCGTGGCAGCACAAGGCCTTCAGCAGCCATCGCAGAGCTTGAGTTGTTGCCTGGTTGTCTCCGCACTGTTGGTTCAGCCATGAGCACATCCTGCTGCCCTAACAAACGCAGAGCACCTCATTCTTAATGCTTGAACACAATTAACAGCCTTTACACATGCTTCCTAGGCATTGTCTTTTTAATTTTTTTTTTTCTTTTCTGGTAAGTTTGATCTTATTAAAATGTGATTTATGTACATGGGCTGATTGTTCTTCTTTTTTTTTTTTTTCCACTGATGGTTCCTTTTCTGTATCTCCTATGTATTCATAACTATTTCTGTATTCCAAGGTTGAGACAGGTTGCAAGGGGTGTGTGCTGATATACGCACATGCTTGCATAAGGTGTCAAATGCTGTGTCCTTGGAGGAACAGATAATTCAGTGGAACAGAATGCATTACTGCAGTTCTAGAGGGAACATCCTTCAATAAATACCTGGAATCCCTCTGGAAATGAGGCTGCAAAGGGGAGTCTTGTTCATCCATCTAGAGCAGAGTAGTAGCCTGTTGCTACAGGAATAAAAAATACTGAAATAAAATACTTTGCTGTGTGAAGTTAAAAATAGTATTATGGTAGGATAGGTCAAAGCTGCGGTGAAAGGGAGATTGTTATATGGAACTTCTGAAGCATCTGAGGTCGTCACTGCCAAAAGAATTGAGTGGTAAACACTGACTGCTTATTTGTAAATGACAGCGAAAGGGCTAGTGCAGGCCAGTGGGCTCTTCAACAGTGGCTCTTCCAGATACTGTCCAGCTCTGTCCCATAGGAAGCTGGAAGGCTACAGAGTGCTCAGTAGCCATCCCTCTTTAAGTTTGTTGTTTTTTTTTTTTCTGTATGTAGGTTTTGTTTTGTCTTTTCCTTTTTTTCTTTTTGGACGTCTCTCTTGATAGTGGTTGGGAATCTGTTGAAATGCAGTGGTGCTTACAGCTGTTATATGTATCCTATGTCACAGCTAGATGAGTCAAAGCAGCGACAGAGGTTTATAGTTTAGATAATAATGCTAATAAGGTAAAACTCATATTTGATCTGTAACTAGTCTGTTGTTTGCTGAAAGAAAGCTCATGTGAAGTATGCTGAAATAAGTTGTACTACTGCCTGCTCCAACAGGGAATGTTTCTGGCTCTGTTATTTGTTCCTTTGGTGAAGCCTAAGATGTTATTTGTGAGAGTGAAGCAATATTCAGTCACTTAATTAGGTGCAGAAATTCTTTGGAATCTTTGCTCATGCTGGGCCTTTGGAAGCCTCTTTTATGGGTGAAGTTTCAGTGTTAACAGTAGAGTTACAGTGTAGCTTTTTGTCAAAATAACGTGAAGGCTTCTATGTTAAATTTTCATTCTATTGAAATAAATTATTTGGGAGTTGGTTTACCTGTTTCAAGTGTGTTGTTTGATGCTGATCAGGTTAGTGCTATAATGTTGTTTATCCTTAAAAAAAAATCTGAGCAGTTAGATTTATTAGTGAAATTCCTGCTAATCCTAAAGAGTTTTTCATGAAAAGTGGGGAAAAAAAATTACAACTTTTGAAATGGAGTGGTGTTTTGTCCAGTCTTAAATTTTGATTTTGTGATGATGCAGAAGGTTGTGGGGTTGATAATTTGTAGGCAAAAAAAAAAAAAAATACTGGTTTTGAAAAGTTTTGTTGTAACCTTCTTAGTTCTGCTTAAAAGAAAATCATATCCATGGTATAACAATGGAGGGGGGTAATGTCTGTGATTAAGTCATTCCTTTCCTAGTTCTCTGCCTTTCTGCCCTTCTTTCACCTCCCAACACAAGGTCTGAGCTGGCAGAAGATGAGAGGTGCAAGCTGAGGAGTACACGAATTCTGAGATGCAGTGAAGTGCCCCTTTACTGTGCTTGCCAGTAAATCCTCCTCAAGTCTTTGGAGGATCTGGAAGCAGCGTTATATCTATAAGTTGACTTTGTGTTGAAAAGGTGTTCATTTTTCAAAGTTAGGATGCAGTGTGTGTTATCCCCACTCCTCTAGCATGGCTAATCTGTGATCTGTATTATTTATTCATGAATAACTTCAAGTGTAGCATAATTCTTCCTTTCATCTCAAGTGTCTAGTGTAGGAAAACCAGACAAAAACTTATTCAGAGCCTTTCTAGTGATACATCACAATTTTTTAGTGCTCTTAATAAGGAAAGCTGTAACTCTTCTTCTTCTCTTCCAGCAAGCTGTTTTTCTGGCAGATTTTTTCATAATGTGTACCTGAGAAAGTACTGCTGGTTAGTCGTGGAGTAAGTAATTGTTGAACAGAAAAGCAGGGTTTTATTTTTAAAAAAAATATATATTTCCAGGGTTTGGGTTTTTTTGGTTTTTTGGTTTTTTTTTTTCTGTTCTTTTTTTGACAGCGAAGCAGTTGAGGCACCGATGCACTTAATTAAGCTGCATGTAATGGGCCTTCTTTGCAAGGCCGAATTGACAGCCTAAGAATTGCAGGCAGTATGTCAGCTATGAATTTTCTTCTCAGAGCAAGTGACTGCAGCACACGTTCACTGGTGTTGTGTTAGCTGGGGAAGGGGAAGCTAGTTCCCAGTAACAGTGCAGGTCAGTTTCTTTTGCATAGGCACATTTGCACTGAGCTTTTAGTGAGGAAGGTAAAAATATCAATTGTCTCACTGTGTACTGCTGCTGAGTACTTGTTTTTC